CCGCCGGGTTCCGTCCGCGCGCGTCGCCGCGAGGGGCGTCCGGGCCGGGCGCGGGGGCGGGGAGGGGCCCCTCCCCCCACCGCATTCCTCTGACGTCGGGACCTCGCGACCCCGCCCTGCAGTGGGACCGGCGCCACTTTACTCCCGTCACATGGATCACGTGTCTAAGACGTCACGCCGCCCCCTCCTGGGTGCTTAGCTCTGGTTTTCGGATTCTCCCTGGGTGACGAGGAGCCTCCATAACTTTCACGTCTCCTTAAGTCGACACAGCACGCTGCCTGCCGCGCCTTGTTAGCGTCAATAGTCCCCACTTCAAATTTAGTTTCCACAAGGGCCTCTTATTTCAGGAGCTGTCTTTCACTCTAGCGGAAGGGTTCCTCAAAGTGCGCTGTCCCCCAGTCTTTCCATCCACCGCCCCCCACAGCGGGCCCTGGCGCCGCCCAGTTTTAGGCTATTCTGCTTCCTTGGGCCCTAGTGACTCTTGAAGAAGGGCATAGTCTTTAGGGCAGGCTGGTAACCCTATCTCGCCGCAGAGGAAGGAAGGCCTGGACAAGACCCTTAGACCTCATTGACGACTCTTTCGCAGAGTCTTGAGCTGTTCTATGCGCTGTACCCGGCTTATTGGGTCGAGGCAGCGCCAACTGATTGTCTCCCGACCCAGACTAGTTAGGGCTGTCACATGGGACCATAGGTCATCGTGATTTGCGCTGGTTGAGGTCATGTGGACTCCCCCCACACACACACACACTCCTCAGTTCTGTATGGAGGAGTACATCAGTGTCCCAGGTGGGAGGGACTGCACAAGTAGAGACCGAGAGATGCCTAAAGATCTCTCTAGCTAATGGAAAATATTATTGGGCCTGAATTTAGTAGAAGTGGCGTGATGAAATGATTCTCGTGAACTAGACAGGGTCGACAAAGTTGGAAGCAGCGAATGGCTTTAAACTGAGGAAAAGAATCAAATTTGCGTCAGAAAAGTTCCTCCGGCATTGTGACGGTTGGAAGAGGAATGGATGATCATGATGGCGAGTTGCCTCTCAGCGCTGGGTAGCCTTCGGGCCCTGGACGTCGCAGGCACTTAAAACACTGCGGGTACCATTGGCCTTCGCTACCTCTGGGGGCAGCTCCGACTCCACGTTCGCGCAAGCGTTCACTTCTGCGATCCTTTCCTAGACCTAGGTGATTGCTCCCCTTTTTCGCCCAATCAGCAACCATCATTAGTGCCACCGTCTGAGAAGGGACGCGTGCCACGCTCCACTGACCAATCGAGTTAAAATGCAGAAGGTGGGCACCCGCATTGACCCTAGGAGAAAAGCAAGAGGGAGGGATTTCCTGGTCTCCTAGCGGAGTGGGCGCGGGAAAGTTGTGGGCGGACTGAGGACTAGGGACTCGGTTTGATGGATTACACAGTAAGCCAATGATAGTGTGAAGGAGGCGGAGCTTCCCCGTGAGAGGGTGGGTAATACGGTATCATCCGGTGTTCCTAGGAAGGCAGGTTTAGGCGCTTTAGTGCCAGGAATTCGACCTATCAAATTCGAGATTATTTTAAGGCGGCGGGTTCAGTGAAATGACTGGCAGAAAGTTATCGCCTATAAGGAGTGTCGCAGACGAATATGGGCGGATCCTGCTGCAGAACGGCGTGGGCCGTACCCAATAAGTGTCCGAGGCATAAGGAGTCTTCCCCTCCCCCCGCGGCGGGACCAGTGGCTCCCCCTATCGGGTGGGGGCGGTGGGTGACGGGCGTATCCCTCCCCCAATGAGAGGCGGGGGGAGGCGGGTTCTGAGCCGCCATGTCGCGGAGGCTGCTGCCCCGGGCGGAGAAGCGGCGGCGGCGTCTGGAGCAGAGGCAGCAACCGGACGAGCAGCGGCGGCGGGCGGGAGCGATGGTGAAGATGGCGGCTGCGGGCGGCGGAGGCGGCGGTGGCCGCTATTACGGCGGCGGCAGTGAGGGCGGCCGGGCGCCTAAGCGGCTCAAGACTGACAACGCCGGCGACCAGCACGGAGGCGGTGGTGGCGGCGGTGGAGGAGCCGGGGCGGCGGGCGGCGGCGGAGGGGTGAGACTAGGATTCAGATTGCCGGGAATGATTGAGAAAGAAGGGAAATTTTCCCACCTTGAGAGTATTTTTTTTTTTTTTTAAGGGGGGGAAAAGAATATCTTTTGCGCACGCGCTCAGGCCCTCGCGCCGTTGACTGGGTGGGGGAGGGGCAGGCGTTGGGCAAACGGCGGGGGTTTGCGCGAGGACAGGCGCTTGCGCGTGCGCGTAACCTGAGGTGGGTGGGGGGAGGGAGACAGGCCGGAAGAGGCAGCTCGCGCTGCGGGTGGTTTACTGCGCAGGCGCAGCCGATTTTTTGCGTGAGGGGAGCCGGGCACGCGGTCGGGCTTTTTTTTTCCCCTCCTCTTTAGCATTATTTTCTCTGGCTTTAATGCGCAGGCGCATTTCTTCCGCCCTGCCTCGTGGGCGGTTGGGGGAGCCGGGGCGCCTCTGGAGCGGGAGCCGGTGGGCGGTGGCCTAGTCAGCTCTTCAGCTGAGAGACTTCTGCCTGGTCACAGTTGACTATTGTTGTAGCAAATCCGTTAATAAGTTATTGTTTTTGAGAATATTCTCCTATATTGGAACAATGTTACCAGTTGCGAAAACTGGAAGGGCTTGTGAAAAGAGGTCGTTGGAGTTTTGAATCGAGTCAAGCTTTGGGAGCCATCCCAAGTTTGCTTACAATTTTAGGGAATGCAGGGACCCTCCCTAAGGCAGGCTCCCCCTCATGTTAAGAAACTGGGTTTGGTAAATCAAGATATTTATTAGGGCATTCAGCCTGTTCTACTCTTTAGAGACCACCTATTTGTTACTCCTAGGTGGTGGGTGTTTGTCGAGATCATCTCTCCCACAAGTTCTTAACCTTCTCCCGCCCAGTTACTTCGAGGTTTTCCATGGTTTTCTAGCGAGTCACAGAGTTTACTATTTTTCAGAATTTGCTCCAGGTTTTGTTACATACCTTGTAAAGATATTTGATTGAATTCATAAAACCATTCGTTTAGATGGGTTATAAGATTGTTAATTCATGTGAGAGGAAACCAGTAAAGACAGATGAGGTAATTAAGATCTGTGATAGGATGGGCTGGAATGGGATTAGAACACAGATCTGTGGAACTCCAGACTTCTGAGCCAGGTGGGATGGCTTCCTGTGGTTTGTGGAGTTTCCACCTGAAACAGGAGCCCAGGAGAGGTGGCAGAAAAAGTTACTTTTCTGCTGATTCCCGGAGGTTCTGTGTGGGTGAGAAGATAACTTCCCCTGGAAAGGGAACATTCAGGATTCTTAGTGTTGAGGGTCAGTGTTCCTCTGAAAAGACCTACCTCACCCTTTTGGTCCGTAGTTGTTGTTATTGTTAAGTGCCTTCTAGTGGATTCCAGCCCATAGCGACCCTGTGTAGGGTTTCCAAGGAGCGGCTGGTGAGCTTGAACCCCACCGATCTTGTAGTTCAAAGGGCTTTGCAGTCTACCGCAGTAAACCACAGCGCCACCCCAGGACTGGTCCTTAGTTGGGTCTCCTTTATTAGAGCAGATCTTGCTGGAGATTAACTGGCTGCCACAGCTTCTGGGACACATGCGGTTTTACTGGGGGAGTGTGGTGGGGTGCAGTGATGCTTGGCCAGGTGGCGCTGATAGCAGCTTGTTCAACCAGAGACAAGGCAGAGAAGCTGGGGTAGCTGCCAAGAGGAGGCCCTGATTCATCCTGTAGCCAACAACTGTTTGCTGAGCCCTTTCTGCTAGTGGTGTTCCCTCTTTAAGCCACTCTCTTTCCCCACATTTCCTTGATTGAGAAGAGAGAGACAGTCCCCTGGGGTTAATGTAGAGATTTGGGCTTTACTGGTGCTCTCTTCTGCCTTCCTCGGGAGCTACGGCAAGAGCCAGTGGGCAAAGTGGCTACCTACCCAGGTTCAGATCTGCTGTCCCAGAATGCTTTTGTGGTGGTTGGCTTGAATTACTGCCCAAGTGTTTTTCCTTGGTGTCACCCAACAGCACAGAGATCAGAAAATGAAGTCTTGCTTCTGCTCGTTTTCTTTCAGGAGAATTACGATGACCCACATAAAACCCCTGCCTCTCCAGTTGTCCACATCAGGGGCCTGATTGATGGAGTGGTGGAAGCCGACCTTGTGGAGGCCTTACAGGAGTTTGGACCCATCAGGTATTGGGCTTAGAGGTCAAGGGTTGGTTCTCCAGAGAAGTTAGCTCCCTGGTGTTCTTATCTGTCATTGGCTAGGTCCTAGGTCTCTAGAGCTCCTCAACTCTTGGGGCTGGTCATTGTACTTTGGGTCAGGAAAGCTCATTTGCTTTCTCCTCTGCTTTGAGTCTGTATTCTTACAGTCAGCTCGAATATTTGGCACATGTTAGGTATTGGGAACGTAGTGGTAAACAGCTGCTCTAGACTCCTAGTCAGTTGCTTACCCAGAATGCTTAGCTGTCTGATAGGAGAAGTGGTGGCGTCTGCAAAATTACTGTAGTTGGGACAAGGTCTGGAAAGCTTTCCAGCAGAGGTGTTAAGTAAACTACACTTCTTTACCTTTTGTGCTACTTGAGGCTTTCAGTTCAGGAAACCATGACCGGCTACAGAGATGTCCAGAGGCCATGGGAAGTCAGTTCGCAGTTACTTGGCGGGCACTGCTCTTCTCTTGCATTCATCCCCTGTAGAGAATTAAATTCTGTGTTTTCTCTGGCAGCTATGTGGTGGTAATGCCTAAAAAGAGACAGGCGCTGGTCGAGTTTGAAGATGTGCTGGGGGCTTGCAACGCAGTGAACTACGCAGCCGACAACCAAATCTACATTGCTGGTCACCCAGCTTTTGTCAATTACTCTACCAGCCAGAAGATCTCCCGCCCCGGGGACTCGGATGACTCCCGGAGTGTTAACAGTGTGCTTCTCTTTACCATCCTGAATCCTATCTACTCCATTACCACGGTGCGTACCTCACGGTGGTCCTCTCTCTCTGTCCCTAGGACACACTGACATGCCAGTGTCCATTTATCTTGCTTTTCTCTTGGCTTTTATAGGATGTTCTTTACACTATCTGTAACCCTTGTGGCCCTGTCCAGAGAATTGTTATTTTCCGGAAGAATGGAGTTCAGGCCATGGTGGAATATCCTTTGCTGGGAATTGGATATTTTTGGGGTTAAAGGCAAGGATCCATTGTTTTTCTGTATGTATCTACTGATTGCTTGCCAGGTGCCTTCACAGCCCACAGGCTGGTGGGAAGATGGCTAATAAAACAGTAGGGTACTGAGTGGGAAAATGCAAAGGATGAGAGGGAAGAAACCTAAAAATGGCTCCTTGGAATGTTTCTCAGGAGACAATGCCCTGTTTCCATGAAGGGACGGGAGGGTTTTTTTTTGCGGTGAGAGGAAGATGGGCCTGAGGTGGGGTGGGAAGGAGCTGAGGAGGGCTACAGCTGGTGAGGGGCAGGAAGTTGGATCTAAGCATTGGGAGGACATAGGCCATTCTGGGCAGTGGGTGGGGTTAAGCTAGGCTTAGCGCAGCGGGCAGTCAGTGCTGGACTTAAGACAGGGAGGTCATCTTGTCAAATGCCAGAAGCTGCCTGATGTCAGGAGTGGGAATGCAGGTCATGAAGGCGCTGGGCAGAAACTAATGACTGTGGGGAGTAAACTGACCCCAGTTTCCACACAGTCTCCGGTGGTCATCTTGTGTATGTGTCCCACTTGGGGATCACTGGAAGCCAGTCACAGTGCTCCCGTGACAGGACTTGCCTTAACTAGATGCACATTTGACTCTGTACAGAGTGCCCAGCGGGCCAAGGCCTCCCTCAATGGGGCTGACATCTACTCTGGCTGTTGCACTCTGAAGATCGAGTATGCGAAGGTAGGTGTGGACAAGGGTTGTCCCTGGCCAATGTCTGCATAAACCGGGGGCACGGCTCAGCTCAAGTGTGGTCTTCTCATCCCTGCAGCCTACACGCCTGAATGTGTTCAAGAATGACCAGGATACATGGGATTATACAAACCCCAACCTCAGTGGACAAGGTAATCCGGCGGTCACTTTGTTCTAAACACTCCCACCTTGCCTTCACTCATAGATCTGGGCTCAGGGTTACGTAATGCCTTTGGATTCCCTGTGGACACGGCAGGGCCTGGGGGACAGAGCTTGGAAAAACACACTCCAGTGGGGGTGTGGTGTGAATGACTTTGTAGCTTCTTCTTGAGACCCTTTAATGTAGCTGAGGGGCAGAGGGTTGGATGGGGTGGGGAGTAGAGTAGACGTAAGGACAGGGCAGGATGATGGCTTAAAAATCCGTAGCAGCTCCCAAGTGGATTCTGCTGCTGTCCTTCTAGGAGCCTGGGTAGGGTCCCTGACCCTCCATGCTCTCCTGGGTCCCCTTGCTCTTCACTGTTGAGGGTCTGAATGTGGGGTAACAGATTGGGGACGTAAAGAGGACTCCCAGGCTTTTTCAGCAAAGGTTTTGAGCAAGTTAACCTTGTGAAGGTGAGACACTGGATTGGAGCAAGGGTGGACACGACTACCTCACTGGCAGAGGGCCCTCAACAGCTGTGCAGAGGGCCCTAATGGACAACCCCCTTCCTAGAGTCTTTCAAGTCTGACTTGCCTTTGATAGGAGGGAGAGGTGGAGGATTGCCTTTGACAAACAGCGACACCCCCTCAGCAAGACATCCATCTCTGTCTGACTTGGTCTGATCCGTCCGACTAGGCCATGGGCTGAGGGAGGAGGAGGCTGGTTGCTGACATCTCACAGGCCCTGGGCGGCCAGAGGCCCTGCTTCCTAGGCAGGCCTGTCTTGCTCACTCTTGCACCTGGGAAGCAGTGGGCAGGGTGGGCTAGATTCTTCCCCGGACCCAACTTGTACAGTGGGCTCGGCAGCCCCTTCCAGAGTTCAGAGGCAAATTGGTGATCGAATGTACCAGAGCGGGCAATGGCATTACATGACTGCTAACAAACATGGCAACCAACCATTTCTTCTCCAAGGAACATAAGTAGAAGATGTGCAGATCGGCAGGGGCTAGTGGCAGGGGCTGGCTGTGCATTGGTTTGATGCCTCTCAGCTACGGCTGCCCCAAGGCTGGGGGGCCGATGAGGTAACCTGGAGTGAGGGCGGAGCTTCGCCACCCCCTCAGGAACCACACTTCAGCGGCTCTGCCTCTGCACATTGCTCACCAACACACAGGGTAGAAAACCACTAGCTCTTCTGGGAGAGAACAGAACACGCAACTTCCACGTCCCCAGAAACAGCTGCAGACTTGAGCTCACTACATCAAGAACACCACACCGCGCTCCAAGGAACAGCTCCAAGCACAGAGACAGAGGCAGACAGAGACAAAGAGAGAAAGAGACGCAACATGGCAGCAGACACTGCTTTTTTTACTAAACATTAAAAAAAAAAAAAAAAGTCAAAATCCAAGCAAACTTGAACCCGAGAATGTACACAGAAGTAGGAAACACAGAGAACAGCTCTCCCAGCCAGCCAGCGGTGCTCTTTGCGGAGGACGTTTCATAGACGGCATAGATTCCATGGGCCTCCAAGACTGTAGGATCCTCTCTCCATTCCTCGCCATATGGGTGTTTTTGGTTTTTGTTTTTACGTCCTTTGGTTTGGGGAGGGCCTTCTTTTTTTTTCTGTTCTGTTTCGATGCTTTTTATTTTTCTGCAGTCACCAACTGCCAACATAATCTGCACCAACTGGAGATCAGAAACAAACCAAAAAAATCTAAAACCACAACAGCAAAAAAAAAAAAAAATCAAAACAGACCTAAAACCAGACAGCCAAACAGCTCAGAGGCACACAGTTACCTGCTGGCGGGGAACCGGGCTGCTCCCAAGGCCAAAAGCGCGGGCATAGTGGGGCCAGTGGCACACTCCATACCCAGGAGACATGCACACGGAGCGCTACACAGCCAGAAGCACCGCACTGAGCACACCACGGAGGGACACTCCCCACCTCATACCCCTTTATTGTCCATTTTCTGGTATCTTCTGAGGACAGAACATCTGTGAGCCAATTTTGATTTAATCAAAGCATTGACTTTTAAAAACAATTAAGAAAAAAAAATTGTAGCGGATGTGTACCGTAATTTGTATTTATGACTGTAAAACCATGTGATGCAGGGTCGCAGTGTATGTTTGATGGGACGCCATCTTTCAGAACTGTGCTAACTCACTGTTGAAGCGTCCAATGGTAAGAGAAAATACAGATTTGTTTTTTTGTGACAAATGGACATTGTACTCTGTACTTCTGCTGTAAGTAGCCCTTTTCCATCTTTGTAATGATTGGTGGTTGAAACCAACCTGGCTGGGTGGCAGGAAAGGGCAGTGGTCTCAAATGGCTCCAGCTTTGGAGTCAGCCAGACCTGGGTTCAAATCCTGACTCAGCCACCACCTGGTCAGTTTTCGTATTTGTAAAATGGGGCTGCAATAGTACCTACCTCATAGGGTTGTTGTGAGGACTTCAACAAGCTGTGATGTCTGTAAAGCGCTTCCAACAGTGCCTGCACTTAAGCGCTCGATTACTGATAGCAGTTCTGAACTGCAGCTGGGGTCAGGCGGTGGGGATCTGCGCCATTGTCTGGGTCTGAGAATGTCAATGCCTTGTATATGATTGCTTGTTTGAATTGATTCTTGATGTTGCTCTGCTTGTTGGCTCTTACAGTCTCCTCTTCTCTGGTTGGATGGGCCTGGGTGGGAAGGTGACGCACTAGGATTGAGAAGGAAGAGGTCTAGAAAGCACCTACTGGAACCTTGAGTTGGGGGCCAAGTTCTCTCTGTCTCCCCTGGGTTACGCCCCTGTTGTCCCTTGTTGGGAGGTATATTAAAAGACTTTTCTTGGCTCCATCATCTGGCAGATTTATGTAGCTGTAAGTTCCCCAGAGGATGTGAGAGCTGGGCTTCTCACCAGAGCCAGGGCAGGCTAGGGAGTACAGAACCAGGCCTGGCCTCATCCTTCATAGAAGGAGGAGTTAGCCACTTGGGTATGGGCGAGGAAGAGAAAACCTGCCTAGAAGCTTGGGCTTCATGCTCACATAGATGTAGAGATACATGAAGGGGAGGGGAAGTAGAGTTTGCTGTAAGGTTCAGGAGAGCTGAGGAGTTTGGGAGACTAGCCTGTCTAGTTAGGGAGGGATAGACACACACTCTTCCAGAATGGGTTCTAACTGTTTTCTCTGTCTACAGGTGATCCTGGCAGCAACCCTAATAAACGCCAGAGACAGCCCCCACTCCTGGGAGACCACCCCGCAGAATATGGTGAGGGCAGGGGGTTCCCCTCCGTGGACTCCCGTGGCTCATGTGCCCCTGCCCGCCGAACGCCTCGAAAATTCTCACCCGTCCTCCCTCTCTTTCCTTCCCATCCCCCAGGAGGGCCCCACGGTGGGTACCACAGCCACTATCATGATGAGGGCTACGGGCCTCCCCCACCTCACTACGAAGGGAGACGGATGGGCCCACCAGTGGGGGGTCACCGCCGGGGCCCCAGCCGCTATGGCCCTCAATATGGGCACCCCCCACCCCCTCCCCCACCACCCGAGTATGGCCCCCACGCTGACAGCCCTGTGCTCATGGTCTATGGCTTGGATCAATCCAAGATGAACTGTGATCGAGTCTTCAATGTCTTCTGCTTATATGGCAATGTGGAGAAGGTGAGCTCCTGCTAGGTCCACCACCTTCATTGTAGACCTACCTGGGAAGGGATACCTCAATAACTCCTACCTACAGTTGCAGATGGGATTATGCTTGTCCTCACTGTTGAAGGGGAGGGGTGCTTATAAATGTCTTTCAGAAACCAGGACTATCACATAAAAATACTTAGACCTCATTTAGAGATCTTACTACACAACATTTTGAGTTTTACGAAGCTATTATACATCTGGCATTAGCAAAGTGCTGCGGTGCAAGGCAAGAAATTAACACTAGCTGTGATGGTTAAGGTTACATGTCAGTTTACCTGGGTCATGAATCTTGGTGGTTTGGCAATGTGTAATGTCAGTATTCTCTATGTTATGACCTGGTGTGGTCATCAGTTTTCATATCCTAGCCTGCTCTGTGGAGCCGGGTTATGTGAACAGCATGTCCATAAATGAGATTATTATTAAGTACCGTCGAGTGGTTCCGACTTCTGGCGGCCCTGTATGATGTTTCTGAGGAGTGGCTGGTTGATTTGAACCACCACTGACCTACAGTACCACACCAGGATTCACTGAGGAGGAGTGTTGTGTGCTCAGGCATCCTATTCAAAGGACACTAGGATTTCTGAGAGCGGCCCTGGGCAGAGCGGGGGTGGTTTGAACCACAAACCTTGTGGTTAACAGTCCAATACTTTACCTACAGCACACACCATGACTCCTTTGAGGAGTAGGTGCACTTACATTGCTGTTACGTAACCTAAAAAAACAAAGACTGACCCATTAAAAGTAAAAATCAGTATGAAGGGATTTTCTGCAGAAAATCTCAACGAACTGGCATCGATTCTGCCTTCCCTCTGGGATGTTTGGTGCGGGCTGGTGCCTGCCACCTGAGACCAGGTGGTTGAGGCTTACATCAAGCCTATCTGCACCCCAGAAACGGTTGATTGCCGCTCCTGGCTTGCATTCTCAAGAAATACAAATACGTCACATTCTGATGATCTCCTGTAGATAGGCACTTGTCAACATTGATGAGAATAGCTGGGGTAGGATTTTTCCATAGTAAGCTGCTGGACCTCATTTATCAAGTGGTCCACTCGTGGGTCTGCCTACTTTGTAGGCTGATTAGGGTGTTGCTATACCTTCCAAAGTTTTCGTTCATGTATGAGGAGAAACTGTCCAGAACAGCACCTTTAAGTACTATTGAGTTCCAGCTCATAGACTGAGGTTTTAAATCTTACTGGAAGCAGAAAGCCTGGTCTGTCTCCCACAGAGCAATGACACATCCTTCTAATTTAGAAGGAAAAGGACCCCTGGCAGCTTGGCAGGATGCTAACTGGCTGCTGTTGGCCTTTCTTCCAAGGTGAAATTCATGAAAAGCAAGCCGGGGGCTGCCATGGTAGAAATGGCTGATGGCTATGCTGTGGACCGGGCAATCACTCACCTCAACAACAACTTCATGTTTGGGCAGAAGTTGAATGTCTGGTGAGTACCCTGGACTCCCCAAGTAGAGGAGAGTTAGAGAGGGACTGAGGGCAGAGAAGAAAAAAGGAGCCAAGACACTCTGGACACAGCCCAGCGGTGGGCACAGTGGGAGACTGGGTGTTCCTCTAAAGGTAGTTGTGGGAGAAAGTGGGTCTGCCTCATCTCAGCTGTTGAGCAATGTTCCCCTAGGGCACCAGCGCTGTCACATAGGCACTCAGCCAGCCATCGTCGCCCCATACCTGTATGAGGCTCCAGCTTGGGTTATGTTAATAACTTGTGGTTCTGAAAAAGTGATCTTTTTTTGTCCCTCTTGACAGCGTCTCCAAGCAACCAGCCATCATGCCCGGTCAGTCATATGGGCTAGAGGACGGGTCCTGCAGTTACAAAGACTTCAATGGCTCAAGGAACAATCGATTCTCCACCCCGGAGCAGGCAGCCAAAAACCGCATCCAGCACCCTAGTAATGTGCTACATTTCTTCAATGCCCCTCTGGAGGTGACTGAGGAGAACTTCTTTGAGGTAGGTGCCAGGGAAGGTCCTCAGGCAATTGGTCCCTCACCACAGCCATCTGAATAGGTCATTTATTTAGTCCTTCCACAATGATTGCGTGCCTATGATTGGGTATTGGGCTCACAGCAGGGACCAGGATCTTGTTTAATCTAGACAAGGCAAGAATGATGCTAGGCTTCAGCTAACTGGGAAAATCTCTGACAGACTGGGTGATCTGATTCCAATCTCAACACCCACCTTGTCAGTCCCCAGGTAGCCTAGCTAGGTAGCATCAAAGGTGTGTGGTCAGAGCGAACTGGGACAGCTGGGAGTGAGGAGGAAATCTGATTCGGAGAGTTGGACTTTGGACCTGGCTTTGCTGTTCAGTAAACATTGACTTGGTGTTAACAAATAAACCCACTGTCATCGATTCTGACTCAGCCACACTGTAGGGTTTGAGACTGTACGTCTTCACAAGAACACAAAGTTTCATCTTCACTTAAGGTGTAGCTGGTGGTGTGAATTGCCCACCTTGCACTTAGCAGTGTGGTCTCACCCCGGAGTGCCGTCAGGGCTCCATTGACTAAGTGCCAGTATTCAGCAAAGAGCTGAGAACACTGGACACTGGCACATAGCATAGTTGTTGCTCAGTCCTGAGCAGTTTTTTGAGAATGGGCATTTTTAAACTTTGTGCTTCTGTGTAAAAGATTTTCTAGAAAAACTCAAACACACCTTCATGTGGGACACAGGTCTGTACACCTGGTGTACTGCTCATATGTGTCTGAGTTGGGTCTCTGTGCTTTGCCAGATCTGTGATGAGCTGGGAGTGAAGCGGCCCTCTTCTGTGAAAGTGTTCTCAGGCAAAAGTGAGTATAAGCTGCCCACCTTGGTCTCCACATTCCTGCTCTGCATCCTGCTCTGCTCAGCCTGCAGCCTCTGTCTCCCCTTGCTTCCCTACCAGGTGAGCGCAGCTCCTCCGGGCTGCTGGAGTGGGAATCCAAGAGCGATGCCCTGGAGACGCTGGGCTTCCTGAACCATTACCAGATGAAAAACCCAAGTGAGTATCTGTGTGTCCTGCAGGCCTCTCTTGTGGCTAATGGCTGACTGGCTTCAGGCCCCAACAGGCCCTTCCTGCCATTGAGACAGGGCCCCAGAGATTTCCTCAGTGTCGCTGATGTAGGCAGGCAGGAGGGGGCCGGTCTCCAGGAGACCCAACTTGATTGTCCCCGTAGGAGAGCCAGCCTGACTGTCAGTTGCTACCCACTTTGCCTGCTTGGGAGTTGCTCTGGCTTGTCCTCCAGGGACCTGGCATTCTCTTAGCGTCAGAAGCTGCCAGTAAAACCCCTGGTGGCATCGTGTCATAGAGGCTGACAGGGACTCCAGTAGTTGCTCAAGCTGGTTACCCTGGGCCAGCTGAGGAGCTAGCGGTGGGATTCTCCTTGGGATTATGGAAGAGGAGAAATGGTGGCTGCATTTGGCCTCTTTTTAAAAAGTCTCAAATTTGGCAGTGACCAGTTAGACCTCATGGGAACTGGGTCAGGGAAGCTTCCAGACAGGGAGGGCCCCATTAAACCTGTTTTCTCTCTCTCCTTTTCAGATGGGCCATACCCTTATACTCTGAAGTTGTGTTTCTCCACTGCTCAGCATGCCTCTTAATTAGGTGCCCAGGAAGAGGCCCATCTGAGCAGGAACACATTTTTCCTTTATGCTGTTTTTTGTTTTGTTTTGGTTTTGGCAGAGTTCTTGTATTCCTTTTTTTAATACTAGGGTAGTAGAGGCTTAACCATTATGGAAATGCTGGAAGTCTGGAGGGGGGAGGGGGAGGGGAACAGATGTCTCCCAAGATTAACCTTCACTTTTTAAAATTACTGTACATGTGATTTCCCCCCCTGTTCATACATTCGTGCTGCCCATGTACTCTTGGCACATTTCAATAAAATTGTTTGGAAAATAAACAGATGGCTTTGGTGATTTCCAGGGTGTGTTGATTTCTTTACCTCCCACTCCGTTTTCTGAAGAGGGACAGGCAAGCCAGGGCTGAGCCCAGGCCCTGGGGGGCGCTTCAGGTGTGTCCTGAAAGGAGCCAGGTGGGCCTGATCTGCAGACTGCTGGGAATGATGCTAACAAGCATTAGATTAGAGAGTCTTGAGGACAATCTGGGAGTCCCGGACACATTCCTCATGGGCTGTACCCAAGCAAGCTCAGTCTAGTTGGGGAGTTACTTAAAAATAAACAGACAAAACAGGCCACAATCCTGCAAAGAAGACATTTAAAAAATATGGTTGGGCAATAAAACTTGAGAAAGATAATAATTGAAAGCAGTCTCAGTCCTTTCATCCAGAATGCTTTGTGTTGTATTCTGTATCCTGCCACTTCCAGAGCTGTTCCTACGACTGTAGAGTATCCCATTGTATGGTTTTGTCATGATTGATTTAACCTGGTCTCAAAGATCATTTCTCCCTTTGGTACTGCAACTGTGTAACAGGCCAACTTCCCTTAATGAAGTCTGGAGACAAATCAGTGTGGCTGAAGTGAGCTTGTGGAGATGGTTTGGAATTTGGGGGTGCAGGCCTCAGGCTAGGTTCTGCCCAAGAAGAATCGTAGTTAGGTATGAAGAGGCAGCTGTGGAGGAGGAGCACGTGTTGGGAAGGGTGCTTGTGTGGTCATGGGTGTGCGTCTTATCTGTTCTGAGGCTGTTGCTGTAGGAGATGGAACAAGTAGATGGAGTACTGGCTTACAGTGTTTCTAGTTCCAACTTGAACAACAGATGCACGTGCCACTTTGCACAGTGATTGTACCATTTTACAGTGTTGGGAGTAATGGGTGAGGGTTCCAGTGTCCACAGCCTCTAGCATTTCTTAACAGATTTTGAAATTTGCTGGTGTGAGAGCCGGTTAAATTCTGAAGTCACATGGACAACAAACTGCTTCACCAGGGATGAAACCGTTTCAAACAACCTCTGCAAGGAAAATCCAGTTGTCTCGCCTAAAAAAAGCCGCCTTTTAATGGAGGGGAGAGGAGTGAATGATCCTGTTGTGTCTCCGCACTCTACCATTCCTCAGCAGTGTTTGGAGTCTTCATACAGCCGGGTGTAGAGGGGCAGTGTGTCCGTACAACATCCATGCGTTGCTGGGTGCTACTGAAGTAGACTCAGCGCCATACAACATAAATGCCCAGTAGGATTTTCTAAGCTGTAATCTTTATGGCAAGAAGCCCTAGTGGAGCAGTGGGTTAAGCTTTGGGCTGCTAACCAAAAGGATTGTGGTTCAAACCCGCCAATTGCTCTGAGGGAGGAAGGAGAGGCCGGCTACTCCTATAAAGACTGACAGTTTCAGAAACCTAAGGAGCAGTTCTCAGTCCTGCAGGGTCACTATGAGATGGAACCAATTGGACTGCACCTGAGAACAGCAAAGATAGCAGTGCGTTAGTCTGTATGGAACTGGTAGTGCAGTGGCTAAGTGCTCTGCTGCTAACCAAAACGGTGGTGGTTCAAAACTACCAGCTGCTGTTTGTTCATAAAAATGGCGGCTTTGGGATCCCAGTGGGGCTGTTCTACTTTGCTTTATACAGTTACTATGAGTCCAAATGAATAGTGGTGGGTAAATGCTTACAGAAGCAAGTCTTTATTGCATAGAGTGGTTTGGTGGGTTTGAACTGGCAACCTTTAGGTTAGTGGTCAAGCACTTAACCATTGCGTGACCAGGGTTCCTTATACATGTACAACCATCTTTTTTACACTAAGTGGCCATACAAAATGCTCTGTAGATTTTCTCAGCATCTGCATTCGGTTTCAGTTTCACAATCGGTACATAGTCTAGTCTTAGCAAGACCAGATAAGAAACATTATGAAAGAATCATTCCTCACTCAATGGCCCTAATCTGTCCCGTGAAATACATTGTGTGATCCGGACCTTGATGTCCAACATATGGTAGACTGGTTCTTTTTCTTTCAGCATTTCAAACAAGTTTTGTGCCTTAGTAGTGACCTTAAAGGTGCTGAGAGATTGTTTGGTGTTTCAATCCTCATCATGAGCAATTTCTCCTTATCTGATACAGGCCTCTCTTGCCTTTTCATTAGCCTTGTAGCTTTCAGTGGCACCCAATCAATCCTTTAACAGCTTGGAGAACTTTTTGTTTTTAAGAATGGTCATGCATGATGATCAAGTGTAAAGTAATTCGATTATTGTTGTTTAGTGCCGTCGAGTCGGTTCCGACCCATAGCAACTCTGTACAGGGTTTCCGAGGCTGTAAATCTTTACGGGAGCAGAACGCCTCATCTTTCTCCGGCGGAGCTGCTGGTAGTTTCGAACTGCTGGCCTTAAGGTTCGCAGCCCGATTCGTAACCACTACACTACCAGAGCTCCTTAATTCAATCATAAGTAATAGCATTCACTGATTTCCCACCTTTACGTTTAATTACCTATTTGGGTTGTTGAGAAAAGAGTTTTATTTTGGGGGGCGGGGGTTGGTAGGAGTAAGGAGTGAGGGTTAGGTCTTGGCTAGGCCTGGGACTTTATTGTTAGGGTTATGGTGGTGGTTATGTGGTGTTGGGTCAGTTGCCACTTACAGTGACTCTATATATAGGGTGTATCCAGGGAGAGACTGGTGGATTTGAACCACTGATCTTAGGGTTAGGCAGTCCAGTGCTCATCCTACAATGCCACACCAGGACTCCAGCGTGATGGTTAGGACTAGGGTTAGTGTTGGAGTCCTGGTGTGACATTGTAGGATAAACACTGAACTGCCTACTCCACTGTTTTGTCCCATACTCTCTTAATTACCTTTTGGTTCACTCCTTTACCTCTTGGTGCTGTTTTCACTGGCTCTGCTGTATTCATGTGGTGCTGCAGGATAATGCAATGGACTGCAAGGTTGGTTTGAACCGCAGGGTCTGTGATTCAAACCCACCAGCTGCTCCTTGGAAGCCATTTACAGAGTCACAACAAATGCACTTCACTGTGATATTTTGTAAAGCAAACAGGTCACACTACAACACTGAACAGGTGTGGTATGTGAGTTGGATGCTGCTGCCTCTGGGTCAAAGTGTACAATGTTAGATGGCAAACATTTTAGATAGGACAGTATATAAGCCAGTAGCATGGGTGTTTATTCTTAATATCAAGACATATGTATTCTAGGTTATCTTCCTGTATGTATAGCCCCATTATATACTTGGCAGCACAAAAAAAGAGACATGAGATACACAGATTGTGGGGGGAGGTACAGGGGGGCGGGGAGCTGTTGCACCCTGTTCTCTGATCAGGGCGTCTGCACTCTAATATAACCATAGGGGACCATGGACATGTATTTGATCAGATGTTGCCCATTGCCAACAACATTGCAGCACATGACTGTACTCTCTTCGGTCCCGTCTGCCCAGAGACACATCTGTTTACTGCCTTGGCGAACAGCTTCCTTAACATTCATTCCTAAGCAGTTTTACAGCACTTTCTATACAGCATTCCAAAGTGGTTGTCTTTTTAATAAAGACTTAAAGAATATGAACTTTGTAGCTGTATACATGCCTGCTTCAGCATTACTGAAGCCCAGTGACCTTGAACCCATCCTTGACGCCCACTCCAAGCCCATTTTCTCTGTGTCCAGTGGAAAATAATGCAACTTCATAGTGTTGTGGAGATTCGGACTAGATACATACATTTAGCCCAGCATGGGTTATACAGTGTTCAACATTGGCCCATCAGTACTTTTGATTCCATTACATTGGAAAGCTGAGTTCTGGGTGTTAATTATTTTTCTTTTTTGTTAACACGGAATACAAAATGATTACAAACTTGCAGTCCTGTCATTGTTGCCTTCCTTGGACATTTTGATTGTGTCCAAATTCTCCACCATTATAAAACAACGCTATGATGAACTTTAACAGATACTTTATCCAACAAGAGCGTGAATTATTTTCTTAAGCAAGGTTCCTAGAGCTGGAATTGGGCTAAAGGGTACAGTCCTAAAGTTATTTATAACTTTCTCGGCTAAAGGGTTCATCTCCAGTGCCTCTCTCTAACTCTGCGACTTTCCAAAGATCTGCCAGCAAGGAAACTAAGCCTACAACTTCCTGTTGCCCTTAGCAGAGATGGCGGGAAGAAAGGCATGTTCATTGGGCAGTCTGTGGCTTCGTTGCCCTCACTCAACATGGCGACCTTCCGTGCCCGCCCCCTTGACGTTTCCCAGTAGGATACACCAGCAATTTTTAGAAAATGGCGGCCGCGGCGGTTGCAGCTTCGGGCCGGTTCCGGCGCCAGCTGATGCGCAGTGAGTCATCCCTTGACCTCTGGGTGTTCGGCGCGATGTCATGCTCTATAGCAACCATAGGACGGAAAGTACCCGTCTGCGATCTGAAAGCCAGTTTAAAGTTGTAGGGTCGCTGATGGCGCAGTGTTCCTTATCTGCAGTCAGTCCCACAATCAAGGGTGTGAGGTGGTTCTCAAAATGAGGCCAATGATGAGGCATCCTTTAACTTGAAGGCTGAATGCTCCTAAAGAGACCTCTGAGGGGCCTGCGTTCCCCAGTCTGAGTCATTGAAGAGTCCGTGTCTCCCTATCTGGAGTGACTGGAACTCCCCTGTCCCCTATTCTGGTGTCGTCATAGACTCTTCCTTTCTCTTCCCAGGACTTTTGGCTCCCACTCAGCCAATTCTCAGATTTGACCCTCGTCTCATGGGCTCTTCTGCACATGGTGAGACTTCTAAAGCAGACCCTAAGGAGACCCCGGACCACAACTATGAGTCTCTTCGGGTGACATCTGGCCCAGGACACGTTCTGCATGTGCAGCTAAACCGACCCGACAAGAGGAACGCCATGAACAGGGCCTTCTGGAGGTCTGATTTGTGAATCCTGGAGGCCTGCCTCAGAAGGAGTCGGAGGTTGAGGGACTGGGTAGGGGTAGTGTACAGAGGATAGATGGACATCGGGGTAGAGGATTCCGCCCTTAGACAACAACTCGTTTCTCCTTGCTCCTCTATAGCGAGATGGTGGAGTGCTTCAACAAGATAGCAAAGGACAGCAACTGCCGCGCCGTGGTGATCTCTGGTGCGGGAAAAATGTTCACTTCAGGTACCAGTTGTCCATTTTGCACCAACCCCCACCAGTCTCTCCCGCTCCTGAAAAGAAATCAGTACTTCTGAAGTAGGGTTTTAAGGAGCTTATAAAAGGCCTCATTGAAAACATTCAAGTACAGAAATTAGACGGGCAGAACATGACAAGGTCGTGGGCTCTGATCCGGGTGTCCGTTCTGGCTCTGTGACCTCGGACAAGGCCCTTAACCTCCGAGTCTCGGTTTCTCTGTTGGTAAAGTATGTTACGCAATAAATCTGCAAAAGCCAGAACTTGTGTAAGTTCAACTTGTCAGAGAAGGAAGACTCAAATTTTCCCACTAGTAGTTAAGTGCCAATGAATCGGTTCCAACTCATAATGACCCTGTATAGGGTTTCTGAGGAGCAGCTCATGGGTTTGAACTGCCTACCTTGTGGTTTGTGGTCCAGTGCTGATTCTACAGCGCCACACCAGAAGAACTATAGAAAAGTGGTAGACTGTATCTCCTCAAAGGCGGAAAACTTGCGAGATGTGGAAAAAGAAGGCAATCCCATGTCGTCCCAGCTCTCTTAGGTTTCCCTGTAAACAGTATGCTCTCATGCGGTTATTTGACATGCATTAAGTAATTTCCAAATAAACAATTAACAGCAACAAAAATCGATTGCTGTTGAGTCAGTAAAATACTACATAAGGTTCTTGAGGGGGTGACCATTTGGAAGCAGATCATCAGATCTTCTAGGGCACCTTGGGTGGGTTCGGACTGTCGAGTTGATTCTGACTCCTAACCACCTTGTGTAGGGTTTCCAAGGAGGCAGCTGGTGGGTTTGAACTGCTGACCTTGTGGTTAGTAGTCCAATTCTTACTCTACAGCTCCACACCCAAATATATCTATGAGAAATCTTTTGATTTCCCCACAGTTCTGTTATTCAGATGTTATATCAGTTTCCACTGATCAGATTCACTGAACTCTCTGTCCTCTCTCTATTGCTGTTAAGGTCATTCGGTTGTTTATTACTTATTTTCCCATATTGTATTTTTCTGGTATCAAATTTCCACTTGGCTCTTTTGGATATTTTCCATTGCTCGTTTCAAGTCTCCTCTATATTTCTCTAGTCTCTTTTTCTTTGTCATTGAGCATAGTTGTAATGTCTGCTTTAAAATCTCCTGAGGTCACTCTCTACTTCTTGACTTTTCTCTTAAAAATGGCTCTCATTTCTTTAATTTTTGTATTTTGACTACACATTGGGGGGATATTGGGAAACATGGAGTTAATGGAGACTCTTGATTTTATTCTGAGACTCCAAGGAAAGTTGAGTTTCCTCCTTCATAGCTTGGTTGGAGATGAATGGAATGGCCAGCAGTTCAAATATCATTTTAATTTTTCTGTCTTGCTGGGCTGTATGCATAGTTCAGAGGAGCTCTGGTACCGTAGTGGTTATGAATCGGGCTGCGAACCTTAAGGTCAGCAATTCGAAACTACCACCTATTCCACGGGAGAAAGATGAGACTTTCTGCTTCCATAAAGATTTATAGCCTCAGAAACGCTGTACAGGGTTGCTATGAGTTGGAACCGACTCCATGGCACATAACCACCACTACTATGCACATAGTTCAGGAGTCCTGGTGTGGCACTGTGGATTAATGCTCTGGACTGCAAAGTCAGTTTGAACCACAGCGTCGGTGGTTCAAGCTCACCAACTGCTCTTTGGAAACCCTATACGGAACCGACTCGACGGCACTTAACAACAACAACATACACAGTTCAAGAGTCAGCTAGAGATTTGGGCAGAGTTTATGCACAGAATTTGGGGCTCCCCTCTTTAGCTGTCTCTTGAATTTCCTTGCTCCACTTTCTAGCAGCTATAGTTACCCTAACTCTGTCCACTGGTTTTGCTGGTTTCACCTACGCCTTTCCTCAGATGAAAAAGCTTTACTAACAGTTATCTCCCCGTGTGCCAGTCCTTCCCCCGCCCCTTATATTTTGTATCTGAGAAGCTTTTGCTTTTATTTAGGTATTTATTTTGAAATGATGGTGTTTTTGTTATTGTCAGGTGCTGTTGACGCGGTGACCTTAGGCACAATAGAATGAAATACTGCCTGTTTCACACCTCTCTCACAATAATTATGTTTGAGCTCACTGTTAGAGCCACCCTGCCAGTCTGTCTCATTGGGGGTCTTCTTTTTCGCTGAGCCTCTACTTTGCCAAGCATGATGTCTCTCTTGTTAACATGTCCTAAGTATGTGAGAGAGTCTCGGCATCCTGGCTTCCAAGGAACAGTCTGTCTGCACTTCTTCCAAGACAGATTTGTTTGTTCTTTTGATAGTCTATGGTAATACCAATATTCTTCACCAACACTAGAATTCAAATACATAGATACTCCTATGGTAGTTTTAAATGTTGTTGTTCATTGCTATCGAGTTGGTTCTGACTCACAGCCACCCTGCATAGGTTTACTGCTTCCGAGGAGCAGCTGGTGAGTTTGAACTGCCGACCTTGTGGTTTGCAATCCAGCGCTACACACATGTCCAAATATCCTCAGTCAGGCCAATGTATACATTCATGGGCATGCTTCCGCTCTCGCACACCCGTTCCACCTTGTATGTTACAGTATTCATCTCTGTCTTTCTTTCTTGGTATTTCTCAGTAGCATCATTGTCCTTGGTTGTTTGCATTTCATCTGCACTAGGTGCAACCTTTCCCATCACCAGCATGAACATGTGTCTGTCATCTCGAGAGCAACAGCCCCACCCCACCCCCAGTCCCCTTTACTGATACATGCATCGGGCCCAGTTCAGTGCTGGGGACCCACTCATGTCTGAGACAGCCCTAGTCCCTGCCTCTGGAGTTCCCAGTTCAGTGGGGAAGATAAACAAAGAAACCGTCTCTTTCGGTTTCCTCTGTTACTATCTTTATATGCCCCTAGCTTTCTTTTGCCATCTTTCTCTGTGTTTCTTTTCTTGTCATCTGTTCATTCATTCATTCATTCAACAGTTGTTCAGCAAGGTCAGTCTAGCACCAAACCCCACCTGGCAGCCAGGTAATTCGAGTCTGAGAGGTGAGAAATAAAGCTTCATCTGTGGCCAGGCTAAGCCTGGGGTCCTTTCACAGTTTCCCGTCCATTGTGACTGTCTTATCTCATTTTCATCAGCCAAGATGTGGCACTGTGGGTTAATGCACCAGACTGCAAAGCTGTTTGAACTGCAAGGTCGGCGGTTCAAGCTCACCTGGTACTCCTCGGAAACCCTATACAGGGTCAATATGGGTCGGAACCAACTTGTCAGCACTTCACAAAACAACAAGACCCTAATAGCCAGAAAGAAGAAATTTGGGGTCATACAGCCATCTAATGTCAGAAAGGACTTACTGTTACTAAACCAAAAAGACCAGCTCACATGTATGTAGCACTTACGAGAGTGTCAAACCCTATTCTGAAGACTTTCCACATATTAGTGAATTCATTCTCGCCACAACCACCCTGCGGTGTATAAGATCGCTATGGGTCAGTACCAACTCGATGGCACCTAACAACAACAACAACCCCCCCCCCCCCTGTATATAGATGAGGAAACTGAGGCCCAGAGAGCTGATTATTATCACCTCCCTCATCGGGTCGTTATGAATGTTAAGTGAGTTAATATATGCAGAACGTTTAGACCTGAAACATAATACGAACTTAAGTAGCCTCATTATGAAGGGTCCTTGGAATATTTAGACATTCACGTGGGTGGTAGGAAGACCACACAATATGGGGTTCACCTCTGCAATGACTACATCCCATTGGGAGGGACCAGACACCCAAACCAACCCTACTGCCATCCAGTTGATTCCGACTCACAGAGACCTCATAAGACAGACTAGAGCTCTGAAGTGTTGTTAAGTTGGTTCTGACTCATAGTGACCTTGTATAGGGTTTCTGGGGAGCAGCTTGTGGATTTGAACTGCTGACCTTGCGGTTACTAGTCCAGTGTTTATCCTACATCACCACACCAAGATTTCTGAGACTAAATCTTTAAGGGAGCAGACAACGTCACCTCGGAGTGGCTGGTGGGTTTGAACTGCTGACACGTTACAGATGCCAGTCGTCTATACAAGTCCAGGTTAAAAATAAACCTGCCCAGTTGCCACAGAGTTGATTTCGACTCACTGTAACCTCATGTGTGTCAGTGTAGAATGGTGTGTCTGGCTGGATGTGAACCGCCAGCCTTTTGGTTAGTAGCTGGTTAGTTGCAGGGAGTGTGGGTAAACCAGAAAAGTCAGTGGTGAGACGGTGTTGCAAGGTGCTGGGCTGGGCTTGTTCTGGGAGTGAGTGTTATACCTATTGGATCACACAAATGTCCCAGACAGGGTGCAGGGCTGAGGGATGACAGGGAACTGATCCAGACAGTTGTGATCTCTGCAGGAATAGAGTATGTGTGATGTCACTGTGACCGGCATTGTGTGAGCGTGCAAAGACCCCCATCCCCACCCCCCCGGGCTCTGTCTCCTTCGATCCCTGTAGTCCTGTCAGCTCTTAGGAGGGTTTGATCCTCACTCTCCTCAAACTTCAGGCTCAGAGATTGAAGCTGCCTGACCCAGATCACTTAGGAGTAGTACCCTGCTTACACAAACTCAGCTCGACCCTGTGCCAGCGTGCCTACCCAAACCCACTGCCACCGAGAGGATTCCCACTCATGGCCACCTCGTGGGACAGAATAGAACTGTCACTAAATCTTTAGGGGGGCAGACAACCACATCTTTCTCCAGCAGAATGGTTCGAACCACTGACCTTGTGGTTAGCAGCGGCCTAATGCTTAACCTATGACTCCTAATACCCCCACCCAAAACCAAGCCCACTGCCATTGAGTAGATTCCGACACATTGTGACCCCATCTAGGGTTTCTGAGGCCATGCATCTTTAAGGGAGCAGAAAGCTACATCTTTGTCCTGCAGAGCAGCTGCTAGGTTGGACCTGCTGACCTTGTGGTTAGTAGTCCAGTGCTTATCCTGTAGCACCACCAGGACTCCTGAATACTGCACAGTCTCACTTATTTCAATAAATAGTGGGTCAGGAAAGGTTCCAAGTGGGTGGCTAAATGTGTGGAGGGGTTTTCAGGGTCTGACAGACAGACAGCGTTGTTGAAGGGACAAGCAGGGGTCTGTCCATGAGTAACTGCAGGAAGAAGAAAGCAAAGGGGCGTTGAGCTGAGATTCCGCTCTTGGCTCCATCTCTCGCAGGGTCCTCCCATGGCCCACACTGCCATTGAATTAATCTGACTCAGAGGGAACCTAAAGGAATGAATAGCTGCTTTAAGATTCCTAAGGAGCTGTCATCTCTTTACCAGAGCCTACTGTCTCCTCTTCCTCTCATGGAGCGGCTGGTGGGTTTGAACCACTGTCCTTTTGGTTTGCAGCTCAATGCCTGACTCACTGCACCACCAGGGCCCCAGGACACACCCACCCCCCATAATCTGCCCCTGTCACCTCACTGCTCTTCGCTTCTTCCACTGTTACCCCTTACTTCCTCTCCTCTAGCCTTTTTGTTGATTTCCAGACCAGTCATGTTTCTACCACAGGACCTTTGTACTGGCTGTGCCCAATATTCAGAGCTCTCGGACCCCATGACTTCCTCCCTCTCCTCTTTCAGGTCATTGCTCAGGTGTCACCTTCTGACCACCTATTTCACACTGCTACAGCCGCTGCTTCGTGTGCGCCCTTGTGCTCACACACACTGTCTGCCCCTTCCTTTCATGTCTCTTTTTCCACACCACTGCTTGTTGGCTGTCGTAACCATGGTGACTGACATGTTGCGGTTGTGCTGAAAGCTATGCCACTGGTAGGGGATGCTGGACTGTAAACCATAAGGTCGGCGGTTTGAGCCCATTAGCCACTCGGCGGGAGAAAGTTGAGGCTTTCTGCTCCCTCAGAGATTTACAGCCTCAGGAACCCTCTACGGGGTCGCTGTGAGTCAGAACCGACTCAGTGACACTTAACAACAACAACATGCCACGGGTGGATCGGTTTCAATGGAGTTGGCAGATAAAAAGGAAAAACAGGTCCAATGATGTAGTTCTAAAAGCTGTTGCTGTTAGGTAGTGTTGATTGAGGCTGTAAATCTTCAGGCTGCTATGAATTGGAACCAACTCGATGGCAATAATAATACCACCAAAACATGATCTTAGGACCTGCTTTGTAGGATTGTTGTAAGGAGTAAGCAAACAATATCTCATTGTTAGCTTTCATTTCACTTTTTATTTCATGTTCACATCCAGTCCCTTGGAGAGCCCTGTGTGACTTGACTCTTTCACTGTAGTGGTTTGGGGACCCTAACCTGCTGTACCCAGTTTCTGACCTCCTGGTGGAGGTAATGGATGGGGCCTGGGAAGCTGGGTAACCCCCCCCCTCATGCCTCCCTACCAGGTATTGACCTTGTAGACATGGCTTCAGATCTCCTGCAGCCCCAAGGAGATGACGTGGCTCGCATAAGCTGGTACCTCCGTAACCTCATCACCAAATACCAGGAGACTTTCAGCGTCATCGAGAAGGTGACTGGGGCTGGTAGGGTGTCCCCACTGCCCACCACTCCTGGTCAGCTCTGACCCTGCTGCTCGTTCCTTCCAGTGCCCCAAGCCTGTGATTGCAGCCATCCACGGGGGCTGCATCGGCGGAGGTGAGTTAGGAGCCCCTGTCCCCCTCCCAGCCAATGACTAACAGACAGCTTCAGAGGAGTCACTAGTTAGACTTGATCCCACGTCCCCAGGAAGAAAAGTGGGTGCTTATTGTCTCCGGTCTCTCCCTCCCAGGCGTGGACCTTGTCACTGCCTGCGACATCCGATACTGTTCCCAAGATGCATTCTTCCAGGTGAAGGTGAGCCATTTCCCCCATGCTTCCAAGATGCTCTCCCCACACTGGACACTCCTATCCCCCTTAAATAGTGAGTGGGACTTGGGGGTCTGTAGGCGACTGAAGGCTTCTGGGAAGAGATAGTCAAAGCTGAACTTTGAAAAGTAAAAGTTGGCTATGGGAGGAAACAAGGGTAGGCAGTCTAGGTGGGGTTAGGAGGGGTAGAGGTAGTGGCCGTGGCAGGGGTGGGGGGGTGGGGCGGATCAGATGAGCTCCCTGGGGAGCCTGGCTTGTCTGACTTCAAATAATCCAAAGGCCAGAGGGAGTGAAGGGTAGGCTCTGTGCTAGGCTGAAGGACCCTGCTGGGCCAAAGTAGGTCGGTAAGAATATGTGTATGTTTGGGGAGCCTCTAACTGGGCAGGCAGGGGTAGGAGTAGGGTGGGACCTCAGCAGCGAATGAAAAACTGATTATTGCCCCAGGAGGTGGACGTTGGTCTGGCTGCGGATGTGGGAACACTGCAGCGACTGCCCCGGGTCATCGGGAATCAGAGGTAAGAGGTAGGAGGAGGTCAAAGTTGGCCATGGGAGGAAACAAGGGTAGGCAGTCCAGGTGGGGGCTGGGAATGAGGCAGGGAGGTGCTGGAGATAGGGGCTGTGGTCCCCTCACACGTCCTCCCCTCTTGTAGCCTGGTCAACGAGCTGGCCTTCACCGCCCGCAAGATGATGGCTGACGAGTCCCTGAGCAGCGGGCTAGTCAGGTAGGGCTGAGGCCCAGGGTGTGCAGGGACAGCCTGGTCTGGGTGGGCACTGAGGCCCCAAGTAGCTTCACCAAGACTTTCTATGAGGGGTCATGCCTTTATTTGGGAGTCTGTCACCCTGCTCTGATTGGCCTGTGTTTGCGCTGGTCTTCAGCCTTCTCCTGTGATGGGCCACTTCCTCAGCTGCAGGAGGACAAAAGAAGGGCGAATGCCCCCTCCCAGCTACCCAATTCCTCATTCTCTTTCATCCATAGTCGTGTGTTCCCAAACAAGGAGGCCATGCTTGATGCAGCCTTTGCGCTAGCAGCTGAGATTTCCAGCAAGAGCCCAGTTGCTGTGCAGAGCACAAAAGTCAACCTGCTGTACTCCCGAGACCATTCGGTGGCTGAAAGCCTCAATTTCATGGTGAGTGGCTCTTTCTGACCAATCACAGCTCTCCTCCCAATCCTCAGCAGCCCACTGCGTGCTCTAGCCTCTGCTTGGTGGGCTGCTGGCTCCCTCCCGTTTTTTCCATTGATCCAACTCTAATCACCCCTTCTTCTGTTTCCATGGCCTTCTTCCCTCAGAGCTCCTGGAACATGAGCATGCTGCAAACCCAGGACATCATGAAGTCTGTCCAGGCTGTGATGGAGAAGAAGGAACTGAAAACCGTCAACTTCTCTAAGCTCTGAGAGCCCAAAGGCCCCGGGTCTTCCTTTGTCCCGCCTTGGTGCCTTTTCTCCCCATCTCCCAGTTTGCAGCTTTATAATAAGGATTCCCCCAACACACAAGGCCTTCTCTTTGAACCACAAGCAATAAAACCATGCAAAAAACCTGGCAACCATCTAGTGGGAGAGAGGAGAGGCAGGGAGGGGTTGAGATACACCTGAGGGCTCCAAGATCTGACTTATGGAATGGGTGCCTACCTGCGATGACCACCTGGAGCTGGGGTGGGCATGCTGGGCCTATTGTCTGGGGACGAGAGAGAGCGAGTGCAGGTCTTCTGGACTGGGAGATGGTCTCCTGTCAGCTCCTGGGTAAAGGGTGGCCTTCACTCTGCCTGGCACCTCTCACAGCACAGCGGCGTGAGAGCTGAACCTGGAGCCGGTTTGAGGCTTGATGATGGTCTCCATTCATTGCGTTCTAATCTTAGGTCAGCTGTCTGGATTTTTTAGGCTCAAATTGGCTTAACCCTTTCCTCCTGGGTTGCCATGTTTGGAATGAGGGCAAGAGTTGGTTCTGACTCATGGCCACCCCGTGTGTTCTGAGTTGAGCGGCTCCATGGTGACCTTTCATAAACAGAAGGCCTTTATTCCAAGACACCTCTGGGTGGGTTTGAATGCCAACCAATTGCCAATGGCTTGACCTTTTATGCCACTCAGGAACCCTTTAAGGACTAGTGTGCAAACATTCATTTCAGTGCCCTCTGTATGCCAAGACCTGTTCCAAGCACTTCATTGTCATTACTGGTTGTATACAAGGATTCTGTAAGGCTCATGCTATCATCCCCATTTTGCAGATTGGTAAATGGGCAAATTGAGGCTAAGGCACTTTCTGAAGATCCAGAGGCAGGATTTGATGTGAGAACCTCTGGCTCCAGATGAGTTCTCGAAGCCATTATACACACACTGCAAAGGCAATAGATACACAGTACATGTAGGTCCCATCACTGCCTGGGTGTGTCAGGAGCCCTCGGTTCCGGCTTTCTCTACTTTTATGGCCTCCTGTCCTGGCGCCTCTGCAGCCCTGCCCAGCCCTCCTGGTGTTGGCCTCCCTCTGCCAACAAAGCTCTGGGCAGGGTTTTATGGGCTCTGATAAGACCTTGGCAGGGCTGAAATTTATTACCACTTCCTCTTTGCACACGAGTCTGGAGGGAAGGGACTCTGACCCACATAATTCAGGGTCTGGCTGACCACCAGTTAGCTGATAAGGGGATGCCCGAGGAGGGGAGGGGAGATCCCCAGAGGAAAAATTCCATGGACTTTGTCCTGCCAGCCACTCCCTGGTCCTTGGGTATTAAAGACACCTGCCTCCTGTCACCATCCTCCACTCCTGCAACTCTTCTTGCAAGACACATCATCAGCCTAGCCTCTCAAGATGGCCTTTGTCCCTGCACCTGGTTACCTGCCCACCTACAACCCGGTGAGCTCTCAGCCTAGGCCCTGACCCCAGACTCTGGATTAGCTCTACTCTGACCCTCGGGAACCCCCACCTGACTTACCAGCAGTGGCCTTGAGACCTCATTTACTCCCTACCTGACCCTCAGGCCATCCCTGTCCATTCCTCATCACACTGACCGTCACCCTGCCCCTTCCTCATCACACTGACCCTCACTCCTGCTTAAAGGAGTGAACTGCTTCCTCCCCAAGAGGTAAGGGTTGTAACAGACAGACAGATGGCTGTCAAGATCCCTTAACTCTGCTCCCCCTACAGACTCTGCCCTACAACAAACCCATCCCAGGGGGCCTCAGTCCAGGCATGTCCATTTACATCCAAGGAATGGCCAATGAGAACATGAAGAGGTAAGACTGCGTTAGGGGCAGGGTTATGAAACACAGAGTCTTTGGGCCCCGGGGTAGGATGTCTTCTTTCCTCTTGGTACGGGAGGGGACTCTGTCACTCCACCTAGTCTAGGAAATCCAGAGCTTGGTGGTCACATCAGGAGAGGGACCCCTGGAGCCCAGCAGGGATCAGGGAGAGCTACCTGAAAGATGATCCTAGAGGTAGGAGGCTGGATTGGAACTAGTAGTGTGACAACATATTTGTCAGGCCACTGATGTTGAAATGCTACCTCTGCCACTTAGCAGCTGTGTGACTGGGAAGGCTACAATACCTCTCTGTGCTTTAGTGGCCAGCTGTGAAATAGGTTTGCTGTAAGGAGTCAATGTGTAAAACTGTGCCTTGGGTTAATTCCCACTCATGGTAATTCCATGTGTGAAACAGGAGAACTGAGCTTCATGGAGTTTTCAAAGGCTGATCTCTTAGAAGTAGAACACTAGACCTTTTGAGTCTCCTTTGGGTGGACTTGAACCGCAACGTTTCAGTTAGCATTTAAGTACATTAGCCCTTGGTACCACCCAGGGGATTTGGGTAAAATAATTGCTATCTAAATCTTAGCTGATTTTATGGTTTTTAAAATAATTAAGCTGACACATGGGATGGTGGTTGGTTTTTTGTTGTTCATCTCTTCGCTGCTGATCTCTTCATTGGGAGAAGGTACCTAAGCATGGGGTGGAATCCTAAACAGGACAAAGATCCCTACCTTTGTGCACTTAACATTCAAATAGGGGAGAGAGATTTAAAAAATTAAAATAAGTCAACTATATGAGGGGATGAATATGTCTGTAAAAATTAAGGAAGGAAGCAGGGTAGGGAAAGTGCATATGTGGAAGGGGGCACTGTCCCTTTAAATAGAGTGGTCCGAGGTGGCCTCCCTGGGAGGGAACCTTTCAGCACAGACCTGCAGGAGGGGACTGGTGGGGAGATCTGAGGGAGTAATGGTCCAGGCAGAGAGAACAAACAGCCTGCGTAAAGGAGAAGCTAGGGATATTATGCTGGAATAACTTGGAGGAGGGTGGTTCAGAGGGAGATATGGAAGGCGCAAAGTAAATGAGGGAGAGGTGTTGGGAGATGAGGTATTGGAAATAGTTAGGTGCAGGTCATGTGGGATCCAGAGAGGGTGTCACAGTAAGGCACTGAGCAAGGAATGGTGTTGACCTGGTGTGCTGCCTGGAGGGGATGATCTGTGGGCACCCGAGAGACAGCAGGGAGATGGAAATGAGCTGGGAGATTCAGTGCTTGAGCCGGTGCCTAGCCCTGGGTCCATGTGGTAACTCTAGCATTTGGAGTATTGGAGTCAGTGGTCTATAAGGAAACAGAGTGAGCTCTAGGATGGTAATGGGGGTCTGCCTTCTGAAAGCCAGGGATGCAGCCTCTTCCCCACTTGGCTCAACATGCCAAGGTAGGCCCCTCAGAGCTGGTGCAGAGGGAAGATGTGACCAGGGATGAATCCGTTCCTGTCTCACCAGATTCTTTGTGAACTTCGTGGTGGGACAGGCCCCGGAGTCGGACATCGCCTTCCACTTCAATCCCCGCTTTGATGGCTGGGACAAGGTGGTCTTCAACACACTGCAGGGTGGCCACTGGGGCAAAGAGGAGAAGAAAAGGAGCATGCCCTTTTCTAAGGGTTCCAACTTTGAGCTGGTGTTCATGGTCCACGCAGAGCACTACAAGGTGCCCCCTTTTCCCTCCTCCCTCCTCTTCCTTCTCCCCTCCACTCCCCTCCTCTTCCTTCCTAGCTTCTTTTTCCCTTCTTCCTTCCCCTCTCCTCTGCTCCTCATTCCCTTCCTCCCTTCTGTTTCCTTCCTTTGTCCCCATTTGCTTGTGTTGTTCGGTTCAAGCCTCCCAATAGTCACACAGGACTTTGATCTCTGTCCTCCCTCAGTCTCCCGACCCTCCACCCCCACTTCATCTCCTGCTCCTCATAAATACAGCCTCAGTGGGCCAGATTTCTAATCTCATCATCAAAGGTTAGCATTCTCATTTGATGTTAGACTAAGGTTCAAGTGTGGGCTTTATCACTCTTGATCTGGAATCTTCAGCAGGTCTGGAGTCTCATTTTATTAAACGATGGGAACTAGGCCCTGCCTCACAGGGTTGTTGAGAGGCTTCATTGACAGAAAATACTCTGCACGTAGTAAGCACTGAGTGCTACTCAGAGTTGGCTCCCAGCCCCATACCCTTGCTTAGTCCTGTGAATAGAAATCATAAAAATGCATTTCAATTACGCTCAGATATGATAACAAGGCCCAGGCTCCACAGTGGATTTCTATAATACCTTTGTTGTGTTTCTCTGAGCTTTATTCTTTCATTAATGCCAGAGATGAGTGAGCTCTCATTTTACAGATGAGGAACAAAGACTTAAAGTGACCTCACTGAGGCTCCACAGCCAGGACAGGTCAGAGTTAGAGCTCAAACTTTTTTTTTTTTTTTTTATGTTTTATTGTGAACTATGTGATAGTTTACATGGGAGAACATTAGCTTTACATTCATCCTATCGTATATATATCATATATCATTTCATTGCCATGGTTACAGTCTCCTCCATGCATCATCAACCAACCAACCAAAGGGTTGCCTGCCTCCACCCCCATCCTCAGCACACACAGTCCCTCTCTCTCTCTGTGTCGAAAGTCCCCAGCTGCTCCATCTCTCCTTGTCATCATCTCTGCCTCCATCTCAGGCATCACTGCTTCTCTGGGTAGGGTCCTGTTCTCTGCTCTTCTCCCTTGATGGTCCTAGGGACCTCCGCTCCTAGGCTGCAAAGTTAATCACTCCCCTCCTTGCTACAAAATGTCTACCTTTACATTTCAAACCCTCACAATCAGTCCTGATAACAATTATTCACTATTGTATCACAAGAGACTTATCCACATTTCCTTTCATCAGCCCCGTCTAGACAGATTAGAGACTATTCAGTGGAGATTCTACATTCCTCCTTGCCATCTGACTCTAGATTTCTTCTTGAAAGCTTGTAAGCTAGTCACTTCTTGCCTTTGAAGCCTGCCCATTTTGGGTAGCCAATGTCCAAGTTGCCCATCCCTCCCTGTATACTCTGTGCATGAAGATGTGGGAATGATCCTCGCTGTAAAGATTTGTTCCCTCTTTTGAGCTACTGCATCCATAGGTGTAGGTCAAGTTCATCAAAGTGTATCAGATTACTCTTTATTCACCTCTTCTTTCTTCTTCTAGTTGAGCTCTGATCATCGAGTCATTGAAGCCAGGTCAAGTGGGGTGTTCTTGTGCATATGCCCGCTCTTCTTATCAGCTTTGTCCCTTAGTCTTTTGACCACAAATTGTACTTTGACATCCCTGCACTGTGTTTCTTATTTGTCTCTTCCCAAGGTTGTGGGAGCTGACTCTTGATCTCTCACCTCTGGCTTTTAGGTGGTGGTAAACGGAAATCCCTTCTATGAGTTTGAGCATCGGATCCCCGTACAGATGGTCACCCACCTGCAAATAGATGGGGATCTGGAGCTACAATCCATCAACTTCATTGGAGGTCAACCTGCCCCAAATCAGGTGTGTGGCATCTCCCTGCTTACTTGCTTCCTACCTTCTTTAATTTATTACCATATTAATTTATATCCTGAACTCATGTTCTATGTGAATTCCTTTGTTGGGTGATGCTCGGAACCAATAGTGACCAAGACAGTTCACTGGGAAGACAGATATGTCACCAGACAGTGATGGCTGTGAGGAGTCAAGGCAGGGATGAGGTTTGGACAGTCCAAATAAGGGGCTTAGTTGAGTCAGAGGTCAGCAAGGCATCCTGTAGGAGAAAAAGTGTGTCAATTGAGTCAGGAAGTGAAGAATAAATAAAGAGTAAAGAATGCATGAAGAGCAAACTTATGAAAATTTGCTTAATATGATTAGTCATCTGGGAGAGGCAATTAAAACCACAATGAGACAATCTTACAGACCTAACAGAAGAGCAATGAAAAAGGTGTACGGTTCTGAGTGTTGGTGAGGAGGAGCAACAGTCAGAATTCTCACAGAGAGTACTGTTGGGAGTATCACCTGGTACAACCGCTTTTGAAAATGGCTTGGCAGTATCTGTGAAAGCTAACGTTTGTTTAGCTTTGATGAAGACACTCCATTTCTGGGTGTATAAGTACACATCACCACCAAACCACACTAGAATATCCACAGCAGCAATATTTGTAAAGCTCCAAATTTCAAACTCCTAGAATGTTCTCCATTAGGAGAATGGTTGTTGGTAGTTATATGCTGTGTTCCGACCCACAGCGACCCTGTACAGGGTTTCCCAGGCTGTAAATCTTTATGGGAGCAGAAAGCCTCATCTTTCTCCCACGGAACAGCTGGTAGTTTCAAACTGCTGACCCTGAGTTTAGCAACCTGATTCATAAAGGCTACACTAATAGGATACTGGGTAACGACAATGTGTGAGTCCCCCAAAGGAAAGATCTGTTGTCAACTACACATAGCAGTAGTGTGACTGGATGGTAATACCGTTTGGAATTGGAAAGCAACGTTGTAGGTCATAGAAATAAGAACGGCACAATCGTTTATTCAGAGATCTAGAGGATGTGGCAAAAATACTAACAAATAAATGTCCTGGGGGGTCTCATTTCAAGGCGTGTAACCTGTTGGGAGGTAAGAATGCGTAAGCTTACATGGTAAATACACAACGACTAGGTATTGGCACTACCATAAGGACTTTACATTTACCAGCTCCAAGGTCAGCGCTTCAAATTCACCAGTTGCTCCTTGGGAACCCTCTACTGGGTCACTATGAATCAGAACTGACTAGAAGGCACTTAACAACAACAACATAATCTTCCTAGAGACCCAAAGGGAAAGGACTATTATTGTCTTCAGCTCCACTTTATAGATGGGAAAACAGAGAGCTTAAGTGACATGCCCAAGATCATGGAGCTTGTAAGTGGCAGAGCCAGGGATCGAACCCAGTCAGGGTCTGTGACTATCACACTCCTCTCCCTCTCTAAAGAAGAAGCATTGGCAACATCTTCATTCACACATGGCAGTGGGCCTACACAGCTGTTCATTTTATTATCATTAACTTCTTCAAAAGCTTCATCGATGCTTTTGAAGAAGTTAAGACAATAATTTAAAAGTTCTCAAAATAGCTGAGTTAAAGTAGAAGTCAAGGCCAAAAGGAATTAATTAGAATGAGGTGGGAAAAAAAAAAGAATTTACAAAGATGTGGGAGAGAGAGACAGAGACAGAGGCAGAGATAGATACAGAGTCAGAGAGAAAGACAGACAGAGCTCCTCAGAGAGACAAGGGAGGGACTGAGAGATCCCATTTGACTGGTTCCATGGACTCCCAACTGTGTCAAGACTGTTGAGTGAGGGACAAACTGTGGTTTAAGATGAGGTGAGTAGAGATTGTATTAGCTACGGTCTGGGGAAATATGCTGAGGAATTTGTACTTTATGATATGGTTTCTGGGTTGTGGAAGTAGAGAGGGAATGAAGGTCCTGGATACAAATGAGTATATAGGGAAGGATACTGGGAATAGGGTGAGAGGAGAGGAAAATGTACAGACGATAGACTGAGAGGAGAGGGAAGGGTACGGGGAATGGAATGAGAGCAGAGGGAAGGGTACAGAGGA